AATATTATTATTTATGATTAAACACTGCCAGCCTTTATTTTATGAGTTATAATTTCCCTTTTTAAATATTTTTCTGTAGCGTACGTAATGTGGTGTTTGTGTAAAAGTCTTGTAATTATTTTTCTATTATTTTGTTATAAATTTCTTCCTTTAAATAAAAACTACTTGAAATTTTTTCTTAAAACATCTTCCTCTTTAACTCTTACAAACCTTCCGATTTCTCTCCGCACAATGGCACTATAATAAAAAAACAAAAAATACAAAAAAATACAAAAATCAAAAAACACAAAAAAATATAAAATACAAAAATACAAAAAAATACTAAATTAAAAAAACCACAAAAAAGAAAAAAAATATATATATATATATATAGAAAAATATATAAAACCATGGTAACTATTGTAACACCATTCTTTATTAACATAATTATTATAACCATAGTGACAGCTGTAAGCCTTTAAATTTGTAAACCCATATATTGTAAAACTTTAATTTTAAACACGTTCAGTTAATGTAATGTTATAAAATTTTGTAAATAAATATTATTTTATTTTTAAAAATTAATACTTTAACTTTTTTATTATTTAGATATGGTATATTTGTTATTGTTTATTACTACTTACCTTTTTCTATAATTATATCTTCATCTTTTCTCTATATATTTTCTATATATATTTTTATTTTTACATTTATACTATTCTTTTTCTATATTTATAACTATCTTTTATACCTATACTTAATTTCCTGTAAAGCTAGACTCACGTGACATATTTATGACTACATATTAAATTATATGTACCTAATTAAAAAGTAATTAATTATGCAAAATATTATAAAAAATTTAAATAAATAAAACAGTGGGATCCATCGAGGTCCCACATATACATGGGACCCATGTGGGTCCTACATATGCAGCCCATATGGACTGCCCACTTGGGCCCTAATTCACGGCCAGCGACAACTTTCCTTGGGCGGGATGCGGGCAACCAATTTGGACCCCATAAAGCTGCCCACTTGGACCCCATGTGGTGTCCAATATGACTTACTGACTGGGTTGTATTCAAGGACAAGCCCATTTTGGGCCCATATATAAAGCCCACACAGGGTCCACTTGGACAAACCAATGTGGGGCCCAATAGGACATGTTCGCTGGGTTATAAATGTGTTTTAGAGACATATTTTTTTTAATTTTGCATGAAATTGAGCTCATTTAGTTTTTCTATATTAATTGATAGTTTATTTGACTTGAACTAGTTTATAATTTTAATTAGATCCATATTTATGTCTTAAAAACAGGGCCGAAGACGCCGGGAAGGACGTGGTTACTTGCCCCAATTTTTCTCTAAAGATCTTTTTTTTATTTTTTAGAGAAAGTTCTAGATATAGAGGACTTTTTTAGAAATTGACAATTGTGCCCCTCCACTTCTAAACCCGTGTCGTCGGCCATAAAAAAAGTGTTGAGATATTATTACTAGGTAAAAGTTTGTATTATCAGCAAACATCACTGTCATTAAATTTGAGGCACTATAAAGTTCATTAATACAAATGAGAAAAAGATGTGGTTTTAGTATAGACCCTTGGGTAACACCACATGTTATACCCAGCAAATTTAGAGAAGGATACATTTATTTGCACAAGCTATTTACAATTGCTTTAATAGCTTTTTGGAAATTATAAAAATTGCCATAGTTACCATAGTTATTGTTTGGGTTTTTTAATAGGAACTTCATGATATATTGTATTATAGAGTTTTGAAAGATCAATGAAAACTCCATCGGTAATTTATGATTTATTAAACAAATCTGCAATATTTGTAGTCAGATAAAGTGCTGCGTGTTCATTAGAATTATTACTTATATATATATATATATATATATATATATATATATATATATATATATATATATATATATATATATATATATATATATATATATATATATATATATATATATATATATATTTTATTCTAAAATATCAATTTAAAAACCTTGGTGGTCAAAATTTGGATAAGTAAGTTTGGCAACTTTTTGTTGGTGAGGAACTATTTCTTGTTTTATTGAGCAGCTAAAGACCTGGAAGAGTACAGTTTTTATGATCTCATAAAAACCAATTATAGTACTTTTTGATACCAATTAGTAATACTTTTTTAGGAACGGTGTCTACCAACATGGGTTTATTCTTCGATGCTTTAGATAAATTAGTTGATAGTTTCTAAAATTTAATAAAGTTAAGGTATTGTAAACCATCAGACAAGTATTACATTTTAATTTTTATTAGAAATTTTTCTAATTGTAAACTGAAAAATCATTTAGGTAAAGAATCATTATGATAAAAAAATAAAAATACTGGTAAAATTTTATTGCTTCGTGAGTAATTAAAATGTACTACCGATATTATTATTTGTACAAGCGATAATATTATTTGTACTACCAATATTATTATTTGTACTACCGATATTTTTATTTGTACTACCGATATTATTATTTGTACTACCGATATTATTATTTGTACTACCGATATTATTATTTGTATTAATTGAGCCTGATTAATTCAGTTTATCGGAGTTTTACGTGTTCATCACTTTTAAACGTTTAAAGATTGTTAAATAAAGCTTAAAACTGATAAAATTAAGTTTAGTATCATACTCTAAAGTTTAGTAACTCTAAAGAAATATATTTTGTAAACTGATTGACCTCAGTCAGGTAACAGGGAACAGAGGGGGTCAACTTTTTGGGATACTTTTGACATTAGCAAAACATTATCATTTGACATAAGCATGAACATATTGATTTAATACGCAATTACAAACTATTTCTATTTCAATCTTATTTTAATCTCAATTCTTACTTCTTTTTTTCTCTTCCTTTTTTTAAGAAATCTAAATTAAATACAAAACAGCAATATCTAAATGAACACAAAAAGCGTGAGATCAAAAAGCAAAAAGAGGAAGTTGCTATTAGTAATACAAAATCTTTTGCAATATTTCTTACAGTAAATTCTAGTTGTTAAATAACAAAAAAAACCTTTTCAAAATTTGGAATTTGCTGCCTTTAAAAAAAAAAATCAATATCAAAATACAATACTTCAATACTACAAAATCTCCAAAAGTTACAATACTATACTAAAGTTACAATACAATACTACAAAATCTCCAAAAGTTTGATTTTTTGACAATAAGAGACATAAAACAAGTTTTGTTTAGCATTTTCTGATTGATCATTTTAATTATTTTGCACTGTCTGCAAAGTATTCGCTTCAGATAGGAAAAACGCGATTGCAAGAACTTAATTTCACAAATATAGCATCATGGAAAGATAAACTTTATCAGTCAATTTTGATCAGAGTTTTAAAAATATTGTTTTAAACATCAATAAATGTTGACTGTTTTAAACATTAATAAATGTTGGTACAAAGTTTGCTTAAGCAAGTAGTCAAGATTTTTTAATTACTGTGGAAAGGAATGAAGCATTTTGAGATAAAGATGAGACGATGGGTTGCATCTTTAATGAAAATTCTTGATATCCAACAGTTTAAATATTGTAGAGAATTAGAACTGTTATCAAAATATTTTGGTTTTTTGGCTAAGCTTAGTGAGCAATATGGAAACCAAGGCAAATGTAACCCATCTTATGTGTTATGGGTATTGTCAGCAATAAGCAACGAGTTCATAAAAATTATTGATAGCATGTGCCAATTGGAATTGTTAAAGAGGTCACATGACGCCGAATACTTTGGTATAATTGTGTATTCTACTCCTTATCTTACTCATGTAAATCAAATAATTTTATTTTTTGTAAAGTAAATATGGAAAACTTAAAGCCCATTGGAAAGTTTTACAAGTCATTCTAATTTTGTATCCCACAGGAAAAAAATTTATATGAAGTTATTTTAGATTTTTTGACAAAAATTGAAGTGGATGTAAAAATATTTCCATTATCAATCTTATGACAGCGCTTCAAATATGTTTGGAAAATATAAATTTATTCAAGTACATATTAGAGAAATAAACCAATTGATAGAATTTATGTCGTTTAGGGAAATTATGTCGTTAAAAAGTGAATCTTTATTGCCATAAAGATTCACTTTTTGAATCTTTATGGCAATACAAAAACCTGTTGCAGTGTGAATACAGCATCGTCAGCTACTGTGAGTACAGCGTCGTCTTTTGGAATTGTTCAAAAGTTTGTTAATTGAGCTAACTAAGCGAGCTGAACAAGAAACTTGTAAATGACTTTTATTTCCTTTTTCATCCCGAGATTGATTAAAAATCACTTTTTCACAAATAGAGTTTGGAATTTAAAAGTAATTTTTGAAATAAACTTATCTGTTGTCATCATTTGTAAAACTTTTTAAAAAGTTTTTTTTGTAGAATACAAAATTTTTTGATGATATACGTGTAATTTCTGATTTCAGAGGTCTTTCCTCATGTTTGGAATCCCTTTCAAATTAATTTGAAATAATGCAGTGTATCCAAAAGTTGGTATCTATTAAGAAAAAAAGGCAGAAATTTTAAATAGTCGTAACTTTTGAACGTTAAAAGATTTGTAATTGAAATTAAAAAAAAAAAGTTTTTTTTTTATAAACTTATTGTCCTTACATTCAAGATAGAAGGAACAAACCTTTTAGAGTATTTTTCAGACTTTAGCCACCACAATTTTTTGAAAAAAAATTGTCATTTGACATTCGTATAAATATACTAAAATTTAAAGTTTGCACAATGTCTGGCATCAAAATATCCTGTCATAGCGTTTTGAAGGATGGTTTTTGTAAAAAAATACCCGCTTGTGTAAAAAGTTGTTTAGCTTAGACGTTAGTCTAACTATATTGCCTTTTTTTTATTTAAAATTTTAAGCAGCTAGATAAGTTTATTTCAACTTTTACATTGTACCTACGCCTTTGTGCTTGTGCGCTGACGTGTTGCGAAAATGACTTTTTCCGAACATATTATTCGGTATTTATTTTCAAGTTCCGTCTTTAAATACACAAAACGCTTTTCGATCGGACTTAATTATCTCATTTAGTGCGAGCTATACAGAGGCGAAAACGAAATTTTACTCAGCGATCTGTGAAGAAGTGATCATGTCAGAGCGAAACAACGTAATAGCTTTTTCTGCTTCCTTTATTGCAGGAGGAGTTTTGTCGTACGTTATATCGAATATTGTTCTTCCAAAGGTAAACAAATTTAAACCAATCACTTCACTAACTTTAAGAGCAGGATTACTTTTATATTCTTTTTTTTCAAGTTTATGTAAAGTTTTAGTTTTTCATTCCACGAATTTTAGTTTTTAAATCGTTTTAAGGAAAAAAAACTTGATTTTTAAATGCTCGTTTTAAAAGCTCACTACAACTCATAAAAGATCTTTCTAGAATTGAAAGATCAGTAAAAGAAGATCTAGAAAAGAAAGATATGTAAGAATAGTATTAAAAAATGCAAAACTTTAATTTATAAATAAGAATTAATAAAAGCTAATAAACAAATCACATTTTGGTATGTGTTTATTTTTGTATACATGAGAGGTGATATGTATATTTTTGAATTGAACTAGGAAAAAATCTCCACATTGAAAAAATGTTCTTGTCATAATTTCATGTCAAATTTCCTCATTTTTTATATATCTATTATCATGTCTTCCACAACTGACATCATAATTTTATACAATACAGTTTTACCTAATTTTCAGTAATTTCTTTTCTGTCAGTACTATACTCTTTGAATATATATATATATATATATATATATATATATATATTATATATATATATATATATATATATATATATATATATATATATATATATATGTATATATACAAATAGTATTGCGTACTTTGGTAAGCAATCTGACGTCATACTGAAATAGCCGGCTGCTGGGGGCTTCAGTACATACATCGACTGACAAATAGCCCGACTCGCAGTGGAGTGCTGCTACATCGACTGAGGGTTTGGAATGGGGAAGCAATCGTTTTATTCATCATTCTTCGTTTTTTTCTTCTTCTTTTTTGAAAAAAATGGTATACCTTAAAGTAAGCACAAAAAGTGAGCAAATGCTTATCAAAACACGCTTTAGTAAGTGTGTATATATATATATATATATATATATATATATATATATATATATATATAAATGCATATATATGTATATATATGTGTATATATGTGTATATTATATATATGCATTTATATATATGTATATATATATATATATATATATATATATATATATATATATATATATATATATATATATATATATATATATATATATATAAAGTAAATAAATGCATATTTGGTGAGTAGTTTGATATCATACTGTTAATAATTTTTGTATAATATTGTGTAAAAAAATCTCTTGTTTTTTAACTATAATCAATATCAAGCAAATAACTGTTTTAAAAAACCCCAAGTATATAATAACTATTTATATACAAAAATACTCATAATGTAAGATTCTCAGCATATTTATATAGTGTATCTTAAAAATTGTTAACTATCTTGGTATAATTCTAATTAACTGTGACTAACCTTATCAACCATACTGCAAACCTGATAATACTTTAAACTACAAACATAATAAAAACCCTCATAGTTTACTAAAACCAAAATTATTGAATTTAGAAGTATTCTATAAAAGCTGTCCTTATGTATAATGAAGCATTGGTAAACTCTGGTTTTAAACCCAATTTCTTTTACATTCAAGGTAACATCAAAAGTAAAACTGTAAAAGCAAAATAATTTGTTGTAAACATCCTTTTAGTAGAAACAATAAACATTTGAAATCCATCGTTCAACAAAAATATATGCAGCTGTTTTGAACGTGTCTTTTATGCAGTAGTTGTTGACAAACAACATTGTACATTAGGTAACTGTCACTTCAGAGACAGTTACTCTGTATACAATATGTATATATATAAGTAAAGATAATTACCCTAGGTAATATCACAGTGGTTATCATTAAATACAGATCAATATAAATAATTACCCTGATGGTAATTTAATCCCAATATTTTATATTGGTTCAAGCAAAACTTCCATCAAACTTAGATATGCTGGTCATTTAAAATCTTTCAATGTTTCAAAATGCAAAAATTATACTGAGCTGTCAAAAGAAATTTAGAAATTAAAAAAGCTAACAAAAATCCTGTGGTTAAGTAGAAAATAATCAGGCGCTGTGAAGCATGCAGCTAAATCATGTAAACTATGTATTAATAAAAAGTACAAAATTATTTCAAACAAAGAGTAATTTACTAAATAAAAAAAACAAAATTATATCCAAATATTGACATTGAAACAAATTTTCTCCATTTAACTCAGGTTAAAATTAGATAAATAATTACATTCTTCTAATCTATTTTTGATGTCAGAACTCAGGTTATTGTTTACTGTGTTTAATTTGTAATATCTTAATTTTTTAATTTCTTGTTTTAAATATATGACTAAAGATTGCCATGAGACATAAAACAAATAGGTCATTTTTATTATATGTGTGTGTGTATATATATATTTATATATATTTATATATATATATTTACATATATATTTATATATATATATATATTTATATATATATATATATATATATATATATATATATATATATATATATATATATATATATATATATATATATACATATACATGCATACATACATACATACATACATACATACATACATACATACATACATACATACATAAATACATACATACATACATACATATAAACATGCATTTAAATTTTTTCTTTTTAGTTTTTTTTTTAAATCCAGTACCTTAAATTTTTTTTACAAATTAAAAAATTTAAGGTACTGGATTATATTAATTTTACAGGGTAAAATATTTCTTTACCAAGTTTATTTCAATTTAATTCAAAAGCATCTGATGGCTTTAGGATTTGTGTTTTACCTTTTTAATAATAGTTAATTATGAATTATCATTATGGCTGGAATAAATAGATATAAATAAGGTATATAGACTTGCTAAATTTTTAATCATATCAAAGTTTATCTTTTATTTAGATCTCAATTTTCTATTTTTATTCTTTTTGTAGATTTATTGTAAATTGTTCCAGCTATTCGATATTTTTTTGCATTAAGATAAAAGTTAAATTTTTTTCAGAAACTCTCTTTTGCATTTCTTTGACTCTTCAATAGTGTTTAATTTTTCTATGATTTTAGCTTCAAGGAAAGACGCAACCCAAGGATGTAATAAATGATTCCATTGAAAAAGATAAAGCTAAAGTAGTTCATTCTTATGATATTGAAGACATAAATGAAAGCACAGCATTTTGCAGATGTTGGAAATCAAGCAAGGTATTTTAAAGACAATATATTATTCTTTTTTTTTTTTTTTTTAATGTTTTGCAATATTTTTTATTTATTTTTATATTTTATTAGTATAGTTTTATTTATTATGTGTTTTCATTGACTGCATTTTTTTTTGCAAATTTTTATTGTGTTGATTTAACTATTGTTTTATGCTGTTTAGTGATTCAATTAATAACAAGCAGATGTTTTTATTAAACTGTTTTATAGTTAGTTTAATAGCAAGTAAAATAGAGTTTATAAAGAATTAAAAACTTTTATATAATAATAAATAAATATTTAAATTTTATTAAAAAAATTTATATATATATATTTGATAAAAAATGGTTTGTGAGGTGTTAAAAGTGTTGCACTTTCTGTAGGTTTGGTGATAATCATAATATACCATGATTTAGCAAAATAATGTTAATGGTGTATCGATATTATTTTGGATTTTTTTATCATTATTTTTTTAATTAATTACCTTGATAAAACTAGCTGAACACATGATACGGGTTATAATAGATCCTATGTTCCACACCTAGCATTTATTCTTTATATTATTAGATTTTAGTAAATGTTGCAAAAAATAATCTTATTTTATGTTGGCTTTTTGTAAACAAATAGCGTTAAATAAATCATAACATTTATTATGCTAGTATTTTTCAAAATCACCCATAACATTATCTTAAGATGACAAACCAAGCCCAGTCTAATATAAAAGAAAAGCCAAATAATTATTATTTAGTTGTTAACATCATGTTTTCATAATAATAAAAAATTCGGTAAAATTTTTTTAAATTAAAAAACATCTAGAAAAAACAGATTTTTTTTTTTTTAATTATAGATATTTATATTACAATTATAAAGAAATTATATACAATTATAGAGAAAATAGAAATTTTATTTTTGCAATCGAAATATTTAATCAAAAAACTTTGAACAACACTAAAGATAAAAGAATCAAATTGAGGCATAAGCAAAGTGTATTTTTTGTAAAAAAAATACACTTTGCTTATGTTTTTTAAAAAAATACACTTTGCTTTTATTAAGTTTTTATTCAATATTTAGAAGTAATGAGTTTCATTAGCGAAATTACCTAATGAAAATTTTTAACAATAGACAGTGGTAAGCCAAGCATAATGTTATTTGTTTTTCAATAAGCCAAAAAATAATGGTTTTTGTTTTTCACTTAATTAACTTCCAAATAAAGCATGAAATCAAAAAAAATGAGAAGAGAAAATCTTTTTAAAAATATCTAAAACTGTTTTTTACAAATTTCTTTAATTTATATTTAAAGTTAAAGAATTAAAGAGATTAAAAAAACTTATAGTTTTAACTTCTAGTTCTTTTAAGTTTTTTAACTTCTAGTTTTTAAATTTTTATTTCTAAAAAATAATCATAAATTACTGTTGATTCAATCATGCATTACTGGTGATGGTGTCCATTAATTTCTACACAACTGTTATTGTCATTTTCTTGCTTATGGTTGACCATGCATTCAGCAATTCCTGTACTAAATTAATAGTCTTGCCTGTTTTATGTAAATATTTTTGCCAATACCCAACATTTTTTGATGGGCCCGGAATTGAGGGATTTGAATTAAGCTTTTTTGGTACAAAATTAACCTTTCTCAATTTATACCAATCCAAAGTTTATTTAGCATAATGGCACGAAGCTAAGTCTGTTCAAAACAAAACAAAAACTAGCATGTGATTGAATGAGTGACAAAAGTTGCTTTTGAAGGCACTCTTGAATATAAATTTCTGATGTGAAAATTGATAACATCATAAGAGTTTTTTTTTTCTGGCTAATAATAATAAAAGGAAACTGAAAACATACCATTTTATAATTCCTTAGAGCATATTCCATCAATTAGGTTTCATTGCTCAGTCTAGCTTTAATATCTAAATTTTTATATAATTTAAAACAGTTTAAAACAGCCATGGCACATATATACAAATATATGTATATATATATATATTAATATATACACTTATATACACATATAATGAACATGATTATGCACATATAAAAATAAATATCAAAATATTTTTATTTTTGCATAAATATAAAAATATTTTTATAGATTTTGCTGAGTACTTTTATTTATCTCATTTATTTATGACTATATTTTTATTATTGTATAAGATGGAAAGAAGTCGTTAAAAAAATAAACAACAAATCTAAACAAACAATGTAAAATTGGGTTTTTAGACTTTTTCCAATGACATTTATTTTGTTTAGCCAAAATTTTGGTTTTAGTTTTGTAAAGTGTTTACCAAAATGTCGGTTTCAGTATTAAACTAGTATACCTGAAGTTTTAGTATCTGTATTTCCTGTTTCGGTCCATCACTAGTTTTAGTGATTACACTACAATTATTTTACAGTTTTTTTCTCTAAATTCTGAACTAAAGTTCAGGTCTTGGTTTAAAGCATTTACGATAGTAAAATACTCAAAGGGTTCCATTGAACAAGAGTACAAAAGATAAAAGATTCAGATATATTTGTAGTGAGTATATTAGTAAATATAACTATAAATTAATACTCACTAGTGATAACAGTTCTGGGATCCAGGCATTTTTTTATAATGCTGAAATCCCCAGGTTGTCCAATATCAATCCTAAGATTCTCTGTAAAATTAAATCAAACGAAGCATAATAAATAATTTCTAAAAATAACGATATATCATGATAACAAGAAAATAATAAAATTACAAAAAGTAATTGTATTTTTTCAGTTGTACTTGAAAAAATGTTGAAAAAGTTTTTTGTTGCAAATCTTTGAAAGATGCCATTTCTATTAGCATATACACAAATTAAATTTGTAAAACATTATCTTCTTAAAAAAAGTTATCAGGGCCTCTAGGCAAAATGAATATTTATGGTACTTGCAGTACCTATACCTTGTATCACTATATAAAATGGTTTTTATTTATATTATTTATTTATATAATTTGTTTTGTGCAAAATAATCCCTGAAATAGTAAACTAGCTTGATACTTAGCAATCTTTTACCTTGTTTTTTAAACAAATTTTTCTTTAATTTAATTAAAGGAAGGAAAAAAATTTGAGTTTTTGATTTCCAAATTATATAACTAAAATATATAGCATATTTAGGTTATTTTTTATTTTTGAGAAAATTAGTTGATCAAAAATAGATCAACCTGGTTCTCAAGTAAAGCAAAATTGTATAACAAGAACTTTTTTTTTTTGCTTTTTTTACACGCACACACATAAATAGCAATATATATAGTACTTTCAAGAAAAAATAGGTGTAATAAAATATTGAGTTTGCTTTCTTTTTTAAAAATTGAAGCAAAATTGTATAACAAGAACTTTTTTTTGCTTTTTTTTACACATACACACAAACATGAAAAGCAATATATATATATATATATATATATATATATATATATATATATATATATATATATATATATATATATATATATATATATATAAATAGTATTTTCAAGAAAAAATAGGTGTAGTAAAATATTGAGCTCATTTTCTTTTTTAAACATGAAAACCATCCATATTTACATTAAGCAAATATTCCTTTTCTACTTTCTTCTCAACCATACTGTTATTTTTAATTATTTTATATGTTAATTCAACAATTTCCTATAAAAGGTTGTATAAATTTAATTATGGTGACTAGTTTATTCACATTTAAAGCTTTTTAAAAATACTTTGATAAGGTCTTAAAGTTAAGATAGAAAGTTAAGAACATAGAAATGATGACATGGGTCAAAAAGCAGTAAGCGATTTGGGGCTACTTTAATTTTAACAGAGTAGGCGTGTGTAACATTTATACAGTCCAAATCAACCAACATATAGAAATGCTAAAGAACAGCGTGGTTCCATCAGTGGACATGCTGATTGATTGAGACAAATGGAGGCAATTTAAACAAGATTTGGTGCTTCCCCATGCAGCTCATACAGTAAAAACATTGATGAAAGACAACAAAGTAGATTTATTGCCCTGGCCAGCGATCACCAGATTTGAATCCAATCGAATCTATTTTAGTCAAGGTACAAATAAGGTTTATATATTTGGGTGGGTCTTATTTTTAATTTTTCTGATTTTTGGATTGTTACTAGTGGAAAAGGTTGCTACACTATGTAATATGACTGCTTGAAAAATACTAGCCTTTTAAAATTTAGTTTAAATGGGGCAACTTTTGATTGTATTATATGGGTATGAGATCCACTGTTATTCGCCTACATATCACCTGAAAATAAGTAAAAACACCATGTAAAGAATGAGAGCTACATTTGTATACTAAAAAAGAATATGAAAATGCAAACTCTTTATATAAAGTCCCTTTTAATGTTGAGTTTTGGATATTTAAGTTTAGAATTAGAAGCGGAAATAAGCATTCCATGAAGCTTTCAGTAAGTTGTAACGATCTTGAATACTCTAGATATTTCTTTGACCAGACATTCAACATTTTTAGAATGGCATAGAATATCAGGAACTTGAAGAGTGCCATTTGTAACATTGATTATGAGGTCTTAATTGTTCACTTCAGATAAAATTGGAGGAAGAGATATCAATTTGACCAGTCGATCATTTCCAGATATGAGGAAGCATGGAAATTTAAAAAAATCTTTTGTAGAGGGAAAGCATGTACTCATCAGTAGTCTCTTCTACATGCAATAATTTTCTTTACTGCATCGACTGCTTTTTTCTTGTGGTCATCCTTGATGGCTGACAACAAACACTTTGATGAATAAAATTACAATTTCTTTGCAATACTTTCTGGGCAATTGCTATTGTATCAGGATGATTAAGGCTTGGAACGCATTTTATAATCATGAAAAAATTCTGTGCTCCTTTAATGCATTTCCTTTTTTCTTGATTAAAAACCAACAGAAGCAGTAAACTTTGATGTAATCGATTTGAATCATGAAGCAAACAAACGCACCATTGAAGTAGTAAGGGATTGCAATTGATATTTGACTGAAGTTGGGGCCAGGTTTGATATAATATAGCTTGGTTTTAAGACCAGGCCTGCATAATCATTTATACATCCTAAAGTATATTTTTTAATTTATGAATTCATGTTATATTTTGTATATATAAGCATATATAAACATCATAATTATCATTATCAATATTTTCATCATGATCATCATCATGATTATGATCATCATCATCATCATTATCATCATCAGGCTTTAGCCTTCCTCTTTTATACTGTTTCTCTAATATAAACAACCTAGAGCATTTTCTTTCCTTAACTAATGGTCATTCATACAATATGTAAGGCACTCTCTTCAAGTTTTCTTACTTCTACCACTACTATTTTTTTCTGAAGCTGTTACCTTTCTCAATGCTTTCTCATCGTTGTAATGTTTCTTCTCTTTCTCTTTTCTACAAATACTATTACAGGCACTGCTCTAAAGAGCTAGCGTCTCTTGTGCCATCTACTAAAATTCATTCATGTTACTCGTCATTCAATTAGGTCTCATTCTTTTTCTGTGAGTGTTCCTAAGTACTTCAAAAACTCTTATTCATCTAGTTTTTTTCCTTGAACATCAATTAGTTGGAATTCGCTTCCTTCATCTTGCTTTTCTGATTCATATAGTTTGCATTCTTTTAAGTCGTCTGTCAATCATTTTCTTGTTCTATAAACTTCATCTTTACTCTTCCAGTAACTTCCAACTCTGATAGTGGTTGCTTGCAGCTTTGTTGGAAGCGAAGTAGAAAAATAAAAATAAAAAAATATAGGGTTCTAGAGTCTATAAGGTTCTATCTTTACTCCTGTATTGTTTCTTATCTACAATAATGATCTTCATGAAAATTTACATCTAAAGTGGCTCTATTTGCTGACGACTCAACTTTATACTTTTGTCTTGAAAAAAAAAATTCACTTTTTGATTGCTTAGAACAAGCAGCTGATTTTTCTTTTCTGTAACAGCCTAAGGCTTGCAATGACTCATTTTTTTAAGTTTCCTAGTATTTTAACTTATTTTCTATTTTAAAGTAACTCATAACTTAATAGTGATTGCTTGCAATCATGTTGCAAGTAAATCAAGTTTAAAAATATATAAATGTATATAAATGTAATTTGATAAATAGTAAATGTAAGTATAAAATTATAATATATAAACTATTTTAAATTTTTCTTAGTCCCGGCTATTAACCTCTGCTGAATCTTTTAATTTTGCTGGGGCTGGGGCAAGGTTTACAAAAAGTCTCATTTTTAGACAAGGATGGGGCTGGGGCGCTGGTCACCACGAGTTTCAAGTAAATGAATGATACCATTTTTCCAGCTCGTGTTTACATTGGTTCCATAACAAACAGCACTTTGTAAAGTCACAAGAGAATTTTTGTCATTTAAAACTGAAAGGATTTTCTTTGCAACATCAACTACTTTGCCACTTTGTGGACAAGTTTGATCAAAGTAGATGCTGTTGGGATATGAGCAAATAACATAATGATCTTTGATGAAAGTAACCCTGCTAATTTTACCATCGTCTTGGTCCTCTAACCTTAATGTTTTGTCTATACGGACATCAAAACTGATTCCAATGAATCGGTTTTGATGTCCGTATAGACAAAACCTTAAGGTTAGAGGAACAAGACGAATTATGTTATCAATTCTGCATGTTCTTCAACATCTTTTTGTCACCACAGGTTTTTTTGTCTTCTTAATTTTGCTGGATCTTTGTCTTCTTAATTTTGTGGTAAATCGAATGATATATCTTTCGAACGAAGTTTGCAACAATCTTGTTAAATCTATAATTTATACTAGTTTAGATGTTATTTTTACTCCATTATTTTTTATATATTACAGTTTTCTATTGATATTTTTTGTAATTATGTTTAACAACGTATTTATATACAGTTTTATGTTTTAGTATATCATCCAAGATGCAAGATTTGTTTAAAAAAGATTTTTCTCGCAAATGAATAAAAAAATTGTTCAATATTTTCTTTAGTTTCAATTTTATGATAGTTTAAATATGCTTTAAGTAACAAAATTTTAATGCACCTATTTTTCTTGAAAGCACTGTACATAAATTTTCTTGAAAGCACTGTACATTATATAGGATATAATGTATAAACATATAATATGTGTGCGTGTGTGTTTACACACACACACACACACACATACACACACACACACACACACACACACACACACACACACACACACACACACACACACACACATACATACACATACATACATACATACATACATACATACATACATACATACATATTTTTTTCAATAACAGATAGTAAGCTCCAGGACCTTCCTATCTGTTATTGAAGCTTACAATCTGAAAAAAAAGACATTTAAAAGGTCATGGGTAATTATAGATAAACTTATTTAGTTTTTCACTAAATAATACAGGAAAACTGGGGCTATGAGAGAAAATATTTAAAAAAAAAAAAAAACTTTCAAATGTGTTATTACAAGTTTTATAAATTTTCTTAGATAAACTATCACTATTTGGCTTTTAACATTCTAATGTAATACAAAAATAACGATGATACTAACAACATTGTTCAAAATTTTTGTTTCTCAATTGTTATTAGTTAAACGAAATATGTCTGTTGTCATGGCAATCATTAAAATTTTGATAATTTTATTAATTTTCGTGAATATTATTTATGTAGTTAATTTTTTGGCGCATTAAAATTTATTTTAGTATTAATTCTTTTGGTGCGTATTAGTTTATTTTATTATGTGGTAGTCTTGAATTTAATTTCAATTTTTAAAATATTTTTATTTTAGTTTCCATATTGTGATGGTACACACAATGCACATAACAAGTTATCTGGTGATAATGTTGGTCCTGTTTTGTTAAACAAGAAATAATAATTTAAACTTAAAAAACATTTTAAATTCTTTTACAAGCAATTATAACATATCATCTTATTATAACAATTCATTATCACTGAGTATTTTGTTTTACTATAGTCGCAAATATGGTTTGTTGGCTATCATTTAAGGATTTAATAAAAATAATCCAAAAAACCTAAAGTGTTTTTTTATAATATAAGTTATTTGATTTCCAAAATTTACTTGTATTACATATATATATATATATATATATATATATATATATATATATATATATATATATATATATATATATATATATATACAGCGCCGGCCTTAGCTTTTTTGACAGGTTGGGCAAAACGTATGAACGCGCCCCTAGGTATATATGGGCAGGTTGCAACAACGAGACCAATGCTCTAAAATGATGAACAAGAGTGCTAAAGGGAATATATAGTTTAATGCAAAGAGATCCATATTGTGCATCAAGTTTCTTAATTAATTTTTAATAAAATTATAAACTTAGACTTTTCATGATATGGGTTTATAGAAATGAGTGACTAAATAAATAGACAACGCAACGCTGCTTTAAATATAAAAAATGTTTTTATTAAACATATAATAAATCTTCTAACTATATAAACAAGAGTTATTAAATTTTAAAATATAACTTTTCTAGCTTTTTTGTCCGCAAAATTTGAAAAGCATTTGAAAAATGTCGTCTTTTCTTATCGCGTGGATATGTGTCCAAATTCACTTGTATTGCACCTATATTAATTACATAATCAACAAATTGAATGTTGCGATGAATTGGCCAAAACCACAGTCTGAGTAATCGATTGCTGTTTCTTTGGTGCGATCATTTACATCACCATTTTGGCCATCATCATTTTCGTTATCGATATCTTTTTCATCGTAGTGAACATTTCCGACTGACACTATTCCGTCTTCGTCATCGCTGTTTGATGTATCACTAAGTACATGCGCAACATTTTCTAAGTACATGCGCTCGCAACTCGTACATGTACTAAGTACATGCGCTCGCAACTCGTACCAAAAATAATGTTTAAAATTTAAACTTTAAATAAATGGAACGCAAAATAATTGGCGCCGAGAAAGATACAATTAAAAAAATGATTTTAAGTAACAACATATATGCTATGATTGAAACACTTTTAATCAAATTAATAATTTTGCATAAACAATTTTTAACAGTGTAATAATACAATAAATAAATTATTTAAAGAAATTATTTTTATAAAAAAAAAAACATTCGAAAAATTAACAAAAAATCGAAAATCGAAATCGAAAAAATTTAGGTTGGGGATCGTCCATAAACTACGCAAAGCAAAATATATTTTAAGAACAGGAGTAGGAGATATTAGGCTCTTTTACGCGGCGATTTTCATTTGACTTAATTTCCTATTTTCATTGTTTATTTAAATTAAGACTGTGCGAGGGAAAACTTTTGATCTTTTTTGTTTTGTTTTTTGTGAAACTTTGCGTTACGTAATTTATGGACGATCCCTTGATTTATTTTTTCTATTTATTATATTGTTAAAGTTTGCATACAACGTTTGGCGCCCCAGTTTTGCTGGCGCCCTTGGGCGGCGCCCAACCTCGCCCCCCCCTAAGGCCGGCACTGTATATATATATATATATATATATATATATATATATATATATATATATATATATATATATGTTGTTTGATTTTTATACATAAAATCAAATAATTGTATAATCTCTTCATTGATGCTTCTTACCCAGGATGCTTCTTAACCTTTTTAATGACTCATTTAAAAGATAGTTAACGTTGTTTTGATTGCGCCAAAGCGCACTTTATCTAAAATACCCACAACAAATTACAAAATAAGTAAGGATTCGATTTTTAAAAATTCGATTCGAAATTTCGAGACTTCGCACGGCCCTAATATATATGTATATATATATATATATATATATATATATATATATATATATATATATATATATATATATATATATATATTGTTTCGAGATTTCACGAAACTTCAGAAATATATTGCGTTATGATTATCTTATAAGAAGAAAATAATTGCGTGCGTATTACTCTATATTTAAAATTAAAAAGTTAATTTCTTGTTTTAAGCTAAACTTCATAATGAAAAAAATATTAGAACATCGTCAAGAAAAATGCATTTTTGACAATATGGAGTTATTTATATCAATATTTAGTAATTTAAATTCTCCATCGTTTGATATATAACACAAATTTAATAAATCAATTATTAATGAGTTATTAATATTTTTTATTTCAACTATAAAGTTATTATTTTGACTAATACGCAAAAACTTATTTGTTCATTATCTCAAAATGATGTTTTTGTTTCCTTTGTATACCGACGATTTCATCTTAATTTGAACATCCAAAGATAAAAAGTTAAAGCAAGATTTTTTCTTAAAGATTTTTCAGGCCTATTAGTTCTTGTTTTTTTCTCTCCTATCTTACTTTCTACTCGTCTTATTATAAGTTACAAATTTTAATCTTGTTTCTAGATGCATTTCAGAAATTTATTTAATGAAAACTCGTAGCATTGGTTTGACAAGGTTTTAATTGATCCGCAAGTAGTTTTGAGTAAATCAATGTTGAATATTGTTATGTTCCTACAATCAAAATTTATTAAAATCCATTGATAATATTTTTTACTCGTGATAACAAGCATTTGCTATAAGTATCATTTTTTATTAAAAAATATTCACACTTCAAAGAAAAATGAATACCCCAAAATGCAGTTAGAACATTATCATAGTGAAATAATCACTATTCTCACTATGACAAGGCTCTAACTGCTGTTATAACGGTAGTTAGAAACATGATAGTTACTTTAAAATTTTGTGACTGAAGCAGTTAGTTTAAACTTTGTAACTGATACGATAATATAATAAAAAGCTAATTTTCATAAATTATATTGTTTCAGTCGTAAAACAAGGTTACATCATTTTGTTTACTTATTTATATTCTTTTTTGTACTACATTTAATTGGTATATTTTAAAACCACTACATTAAGTACAACCCTTAAAAATATTCATGGTATCTGTTTATTTTATAGGTAAAGAACAACCCGATAGTAATCTCATCCTTGAGAGGCGACAGAAATGCAGCTTTAATATATATTTTTTTCAAGTATGCAAGTTACTTTGTACAATTTTGAATTTTTGGTTTTTCTTTCAAAACAATTCAAAACAAGTTTATGGACTTGTTGCTGCATTCTTCCTGTTAGGTTTTTCATTGAACTTGACATTATTACAGTTCATAGGCTCATTGCGATCATGGCTAGATTTAAAATTTATAATTTGAGATTTTAGAGTAAATTTTAGAAACGCAACGTTAAAAAAAAAGAAAAAAAAACTTGTAATTAAACAGCTTTGCTGTTACTCAATAATCCTTAAAGTCACGTTGTTTTATTTGAATGATACGATAAGGATTTTTTCTGTTAATTTGTTTCGACATCCTTATCAATCCAATTGGACTAAAAAAATCAGTTTTCCTCATGAGTTTTTCAATTTCACTACAGGCGCGATCCACCTGGAAGGGAACATTTCTTAGTGATTGAGTTAATGTTAGGATTGTCTTTGATAATATACTGTTATGATTTTGAGGAACGCAGAAATCAAACCAAGTAATTAAGTCACTTACGTTATTTCCCTCTGCCAAATCACTCGATATTTTGCAAGAGGCACTCGCAAGATCATTGCCGCTTCTTCCCGCCATTGATTAAGTCCTTAATGCACAGTACACTTTTTTGGTTGTTGAAAAATAAGCTGTCAAATTATACACGCTTAGCTTTCTCAGATAAAAAAGGAAACTAATTTCTGCATGCAAGTTCAAAATAACATTTTGAAGGTCAAAAAGTAAAACCAAGACATTTTTATCCTTTTTTTCTTCAGCACGTATATCTCTCTTTTTTTAAAAAAAAAAAAAAACTTGATGTCTTTTAAAGTCTTCTCTTAATATTTCAGACAGTATCAGCGTTTTCAGTAAGTTTAATCTTCTCACAAAGGTCGCATCTATCCTTTTTGGGAATATGAAAACCAAGATTGAATTTGTTGGAGAAATTATGATAGTAGATTTTTTTACTAGCTCAATATTTTTGTTTATACATTTCTCTTTGTTAGCCATTCCAGACAGTTTTTTTATTATTTAAATATTCAAATATAATTGATGTCATTGTATAGAGCTTGGCTTGACTTGAAAAAATGAGGTTTCATTCAGCCCTTGAAGTTAAGTGGATCAAAACTTTCTATATATGTCTGGAAAGAGGTTGAGTAATACTAACTGATGCAAAAAACCTCATGGTAATTGCTTAACCCTACAAAAGATATAAGAGAGTAACGTTTATGAAAATTCGGTGTTTTTTGTCAAACGTCAAATGTATTTCGTAGCGTCGTGGAATCGCTATCTTTGTAAAGATTATACTCTTTTGAAACATTAAGGTGTGACTCAAAGTATTCTCTATTGGTACTTACACGACAATATTGGAAAAGATTTTATGCGATCCCTAGCTGAGTCGGCATCACTGAGCTATGTACGTTTGCCTTTCATTATTTTACCTCGTAGATCTTGTGCAGAAATATTTGTTTTAACACCTCTGGTGTTGTGAACTCTGTAAACTGGCTTTTGGGAAATTGACAATGTAGTTAGGTAAAATGATTTGCAAACACGGGGTTTTTCTCCTTTTATATGAAAAAAAGTATCTATAGGCGTACTGCTTTTTTAAAAAAAATTGTTTTTCAGTGTGGTCATCAGTTTCTTTATTTGCAGCATCACTATAATTGTTTTCCTCGTTTTGTTTCTTTTTGGTCTAGCAGTGGTTGTGCGATCAGTTGAAATAATTAAAAAATGCCTGTTTTCAGTACCTGAATTTGTGAAAAAAAAAGTGGCGGGATAGCTCAGTTGATTAGAGCGTCAAACAAAAAGTTAAAATCCGGACTGTTGGACGATACGGGTTCAAATCATGCCACCGCTAACTTAGCGCTTGAATAGTACCTCGGTACGCAAAAATGTTGGTCAATAACGGACGCTACTTTGGATTAGTCTTAATGACTATTTGTGGCTGTTTCTATCCTAAGCCAACA